TTGTTCTCAAGTCATTTTACATTAAAGTCATGAAACAAACATTCAGTTTTTCAAGGTGGCACTATAAAGTTAACTTTATACTTTGGCTGTGTTGTATTGTGCTTTAATTGGCATAGGTAAAAATCATTGCTGATCATCATCTGAGCTAGAGAGAGTTGTTTATCACTTTTTAAGTGTCAGTCTGCTTGGTTGAAACTAGCTAGGTGGCTATTTTTGCTGCAGTTTCTAGGGTGATTATGAATTTGAATGAGATATGTTAGTTGGATAAGGTGGGTCTGGTTTGTCAGCCACCGTTTCTAAATACCTCGCTTTTGGGGTGCTGCTGCCGTAGACTAAACTTAAGCTGTTGTGGTTGCTAACTTCGATCCGTCAGTAAGTTTAAGTCAAATTGTTTGGTCTGTCGAATAGAATAATTTTCAATTGGGTGTCGAAAATAACCAGACATAGCATTTCTTTTGCTTTACCGCGCTCTGTGATTGGTCCAAAAAACTCGCACCATGCTCTTAACCAATCAGATGAAAAACTGACACCAATAACGATTTGGTGGCTCGCGTTTTCCCGCGCTTTAGGCAGTTTGGCTGTTTTTACTTCGAGTTCTCATGTGCTTTTAAAGTATTTTACGTCGTTGTGATTGGTTTGGTTTTGGTTTTACGGCTCCATTGAAAAGCGCTCTATTTCAATATTTAAATTATGTTGCTTGTTAGGTGCTTCAGTTGTAGATTTGATTGGAGCGCGTTAGTTGTGATGGTTCGATTTCGTCAAGCAAGTTGTTGGTACATTAGGTTTGTCTGATAGTTCTTATGTCGCGAGTACCCTCCTAGAGTGCAGTCGTTGTTTGCAGAGATCTTTCCAAACTATTCTGTCTTAAGATTTCTTTTGTCGTCTGCTACTAAAGTCTGGTAACGTGGGTTAAAGTTTGAAAAGAGTCCCAATTAATTGAAAAAGTCGCTTGTAAGGTGCCGTAGTTGTAGAGATCTTTTCAAATGAGATTTTTCTAAGTTGCTAATCAGCTCTCCGCAGTTATTCGTTGAAAATGAGTTCTGGACATGCGAGTGTGATTTGTGAGTCGATGATGTTCAATTAATTTTTCTTGTCGTTCGTTTCTGTTCATTGCGTCAGCCTGCCAAACCGCATACTTACTGAATGCCAGGAAAAATCAACGAAAGTTCCAAATCGCCGTATTTTTTGCTTTCTGGATAAAAGATATTGAATTTACAATGCCACATTAAATATCATTCAGTTTGCCCACGACTTGTAGTTCTATAAACATTATTCACTGCTAGCGGATTGTTACGGAAACATGTAAAAAAACAAAAAAAAAATCAGAGCTTTCGTGTCGTTTCAATTACAACAAATTTGTATTTCGCTCTCCTACGCAGGTCTAACCTCAGGGAAAAGACGTAAAGCCGTAAGCCTTTTAAGATTTTCAGCTAACTTCATCGGCGAAAGGAGACATTTTCCATAACAGTTACTACCAGTTAAATACTACTCCGAAAAACTTGGCTGTAGGTTTACCCAACTCAAAATTCTCCAGATTTCTGCCAGTGTGCAAGTTTTCTTGAGACAAAATATTTAGTAAATGTACGAAATTGAGTCAGCCACAATTTTTCGGAGAGTATTCATACTAACGTATCAAACCAATTTGAGTTTCTTATCTTTGCTTTTCAATCACTCCTGACCCAGTGACTCCATCCACACTGTTTTCTTGTATTTTATTGAAGACCTTCTTCTTCCTTCTTCGATATGAATTTATTTTCCTGAGAAAGAAATGTAAAATGATGTTTACATCCATAACGGTCAGCGGTTAAAACCAGCGTGTAACAAAAACTAAATCAAAATTAATGAAGCTAATATCTAAATGCTGAAATTTTTGTGACGTGTGCGCACTGGTTTTATTAAAGTAAAAACGTGGCTGCCTTGTCAAATTGTGATAGAATTGGGGTCAGAAATATTTCATGAGAAATACGCCATTATTCGTGTTTGTTGTGCTAGCTAATTCCGCAATAAAATCTAAACGTTAGTCGAAGGAACGCTTCAACCGAATCAGCACGTGGAGTTAACTTCCAAGAATTTTGCCAATTGAATCCGTCTTTTTTAGCAAAAAGAGCAACGGCCATTTAATACGCACTATTTTCAGAAAGCTATACTCACCTTACGTTGAATTATCGACCATAATTTCCCGAACGTCTTGCAAAAGGCGCAAATTTGGCCAGCTTCAGAAGAACGGCTTTCTGTGTTGAAAAACTGATTGACATGCAGGCAAGCTCGAGGTTTGTTATGAATATGGATCAGGCTTTTTGAACCAATCACTGACAAATACCTCACAGAGTTGTCGATTTTTTTCCTCGGATTCTTCTTGAACCAACCAATCAGGAACTGCGAAAGGTAAAAGCAATTAACATTAAAACTGAAAAAGAAAACAAGACACGTGTTACAACCCAAGTAATGAAAAATATTTTTTGTTTTACAACTAACAACAATAATTTTTCTATAATTTAATTCTGTTATTATAAATGTTCTCTGATCAGATTAGCACAAGCTAACTGAGGGCCAGATTAGCTGCAACTTTTGTTTTAAAAATACAATAAAGATATTGATGTTGTTGTTTAAAAAACAAAAAAGATTTGTGCCCTAAGAGGGAAAGAAAAACTCACTCAGGCTATCGAGGTCGACCAAAATAAGTGAGCGCGTCAATGAAGTTAAAACAGCAACAACAAAGACACGAAAAGCGAAGCGAAAAATATCAAAAAATGGGTGTAAAGAAGAAAGAGGGAGAAAAAAGTTGATGAAATTGGAAAGAGGGATTGTTAAACAAAATGGAACGCGAATGCAAATGAATAATTGGAAAAGAGAATGTTCAATCCTTTACACTAACGTCAGTGTTCCCTATCTCCATGCTGCTCTCTCTAACTTTCCTCAGTGTGGTGCTTACAAAGCGAATTACATTGTTTGACAATCAGGAGCTTCTTAAATCGGTGATCATTTCCTTTATTCTCATGACCTTTAAATTTGATTCAAGGTTGATAAAATAAGGAGAAATTAGAAGCCAGTCACCCTCAGGGGATATAGGGGCTTAGGAAACGCTTTCAAAAGAGCTGGAAGGAACAGGACATTTACAAGCGAAATTGTTTGGTAATGGATATACAAACTCGACATCAACAAGCCTGAGCGACAGGCGCCTTGTTTTTTTCTCTTTTCCGCGTTTTATAAGCGAGCAGAGGAAAGTGAGTCGCGAGTCGCGAGTCGCGCTAGTGGACGGGCGTGCAAAAAAAATTATCATGTACACCTTCCCGCGCGCGTCTCGCACGAGATGCTCGCATCACGCTTGCCTCCTCGATTCTGAAAAACGCCTAAAAATGACGTCTATCCCATAGGATCTACTATTTCGGCCTTAAATAGCCAAGACCTATTGGTTTTTCTCCCATTTGATGACATCACATTTCTTTGTGTACGTCCCCGGAATTTGTTCTACTTCTTTACATCGTATATATTCCACGAAGCCTAAATGCCCTTCACTTTAGTGGAACTCTTCATATACTGTCTAAGAGTTAGCATGTAAATTATAACGACCTGCGTATCTAAAGTTTATTGAGAATTGATGACCGATCATTCATGGGTATGACCCGAGTATCAGGCTTTCCAACGGAAGGGGGACTGGGGCCGAGCGAGGTCTCTTAGAAAGGCTGGAAGGGGGACTAGGGGCCGAGCGAAGTCCCTTAGAAAGGCTTTCTTTCTTTTTCTCTCCCCAACCTCCATCTCCGTTGGAAAGCCTGATATTCAGGCTATCCTAGGAGTAAATAGGTTAACAAAAAAAGGATTATTTATGAGGAAGAAACAGAAGGCACACGAAGTCGCGCTGAGTAAGAGATGACGCCTTAAAGAAATCAACCCCTATGCTGATCGAACAGTCCATCGTCTCTGTTAGGAACTATCAACAAATACTGTAAATGCAGAGAAATCTTTGATGCAAACAAATTTTAATGTATAAAATATGCCACTATTTACAAAAACTCTCAATATACAATTTCTTATAATCTCAATTTACAAAATCTTTCCCATAAACAGGGATCTCATAATTTATATTAAACATGACCTCACAGAACATGGAATTTACATTTATATTACAACGTGTAACTGTTTTTCCCATAAATCGAATATTTTTTATTACTCGCACAACCGAACTTCTCTGACAAAGAGGGATTGCCCTTAGTCGTGAGTGATAACCTATTTAGAGATATCATGCAATCCACTAATTTTTCAAGTGTAACCCACGATGATGGACATTATGGGCAGATTATTTAAACAAACTTTAGCCCTTGTTTAACAAAACCGCGCTCTAAACTATCTTGAATTTAGCTGAATCTTTAACCTGAACATTTATTTTTGTGAACAGAGTAAAGGGGGCCAAAAATTAGCAGTAGAAGGACATGTATTTAATGGAAACAACCCTCTTGGGGAGGATACGTAAGGCCAACTGCTTGCATAAAACGGCGGTTTAGGTTAGACCTTGTGTAAATAACCGGCCCTGTAGGCTCTGGATTCCAGTTGTCATCATTAGTTAACCCTTCAACCCCTAAAAGTGACTAGCATCTAATTTCTCCTTACAATATCACCCCTGAATCAAACATTAATGTCATAAGAGTAAAGGAAATGATCACCAACTTGGGAAGCTCTGTATTGTTAAACAAAATAAATTCTCCTTGTCAGCACCTTGGTAAATGTACAGAGAACAGTATGGAGAATATAAACACTGATGTTAGGAGGTAAAGGGTTAAAGAGAGTAATTGAGTAGTGTGTATGTCTACCTCACCATCCCCACTACATTACATTTACATCATCTCATTAATACTGAGTCAGAAGCTCATAAAAATCACATCATTATATTCAACACTGAACCACCACACCCAAAGACAGTGTAACATTCTACAAAAGACCTGGACCCAGTTGTTTGATGGCCGAATGGTGCTAACACAGGGTCAAACTTTTATTCAGGTTTCTAAATTTCTCTGTTCAAAAGCTGTTTTGAGATAAGTCTTCCAAATTCTTTTTAGTGTATTCAATCATCAAATTGTAGACAAGTGGGATTAACCCAATTTTTTTAAAAGCTTCCAGATCTGAAATCGAATTTCACACTAACCCTGGGTTATCTTAACCCAGCTTTGAACAACTGGGCCTGACAATTAGTGGTTTGTAATATTTCATGACCATGAATTTCCATGAACTGTATTCCCTTGTATTAGTATCCCACATTTTCATAACCCAAAAATTTAGCTTGTTTTCAAAATAATTCCTTCTTTAGCTATTTCGTTTTTTTTTCCTTGAGGAAATCACACTCAATTCACTTGAGCTTCCAGGCCTTGAAGGTAATGAGATTTGCACTACAGTAATGAAAAAACATAAAAAATATTATCATGGAAAAAATGACAGATGATTGGATAACTCTAAATTTTTCATGTCCTTTCATGACCTGTACAAACCTTGTGTTTCTCAAGCAACAATACCTTCTAAAACCCAACATTTAACATTGTATTCCTGAACAATTTTGTTTCTTGGATTAAGAACGGGTGGTGACATTATTTATGAACGGATTTTTATGAAGTTATTCTGTTTCCATTCGTTTTACATGCGGTATGATCTCCCACTGTGGAATGTGTAAATCAAACTCCAGAGCAATAACAACTTGGAATTCAAATCGAATGAGCTCTTTTGCTGATATTCGAAGCCTATCCTCTATGGCCTACAAGATGAAAAAAAAAATTTTACTCTGACAATCACTTTGATGGTGACTCACTATGTCTGATTTCTGCTCTAGTAATTACCACAGCTGATCAGAAGAAAGGCAAATCCCTCTAAGAGCGAATGAGAACTCAAAGTAAACACATCCAAACTGCCTAAAGGTTAGCATCTGATTGGTTGAGAGAATGGTGTGGGTTTTCTAGACCAATCACAGAGCAAAGTAAACAACTGCAATGCACTCTCAGATTATTTTCAACAGTCCATTGAAAATTTTTCTAGTACATATATTCTGAAGTGTGATCCCCTAGGTTATGTTATTCCTGAAAATAGCTGTTGCTGTTCATCAGCTTCAATGGAAGAGTTGTAAATTGTCATGATTTGAATGATATGATGGACGTTTGCTGCAGAAGTTTCAAACTGATTGCATGGAATGATTTCACGGTTGAAATTCACCATAATGACAACTGGATACCAACATGATTATTTCCATTCAAATCCTAAAAAGATGCGTTATAACAAAGTAGCTGTGGTATCATACCTCAATGACCTCTTTGATTTTCTCTCTTTTCATATCACCATTAAATTTTGCAGCCAGTAACAAGCAGGAACCTAAAAATAAAAATTTGAAATTAGGATAGTTTCATAAACCCAACTACTGACAGACAAAAGAAAAATTATCTCCTCTTCACATTCCAAGTTAAGCTTCTAGACACACTCAGTTCTAAAAATGTAAAAGCTATTTACATGTATCAAAAAGTCAGAGAATCAATTTATAGAAAAAGAAGAAGAAAAAGATTGCTACCTGCCAAAAGCTTTCTGTTTGCCTTAGTAATCTTTTCCTGTAAAAAATATATTGTGTTCAAAAATGTGCATAACCTGTAAGTTAATATTTAGCACGTGGTTATAGTAAAATGCACCAACACAGCAGGCTAATCCCAGAACATATGACCAGGACTGGTGTTGCCTACTCATCACACCTTCCCACCTAAGGCAGGGGTTTATTGGATTGATTTCAACAACATAATAATCACTGCAAATTTCTATTCATGTGGTTAGCATAGAAATAAGTAACGTGTTCTCAATATAAAGAAAGATATTTTTCACCTAGTCACAAGTGTGGGACAAAGAAAAAATTTCAAGTCACCATGAGGAATCGAACCTCAGACCTTCAGGCTCTAATGCTCTCTCACTGAGCCACAGAGACTCTATGGTGAGCAAAGCCCATTATGAAGTTCATATATGACACACGTCCTGCATACTACCGGGTACTTCAATGCTCTACCGTGTATGTTGCTACTGTATGTTGCATGTTATTGTTATTGTACATGTTATTTTAACAGTTACACAACACAAAAGAAGTTTGGTAAGATCCCTAAGTTTTTAGTTCAATGTATCCCTAAGAGTTTAGTTCTATTCCTGCAGTGCTGAGAAAGAGAATTTGTTCAACATTAAACAGCCTCTTAAGTCGGTGATCATTTCCTTTCTTCTCATGACTTTAACATTTGATTCAGGGGTGATATTGTAAGGAGAAATTATATACTAGTCACTCTTAGGGGTTAAAGGGTTAAGCCAAAATTCCCTGAGCAAAAAATGAAATTTTACCTTCAAAATAAGTTTTTCAAAATAGACAAATGCATAACCCACTGTCGTTGGATCAAGCAGGCAATCCTGAGAAGCAAAGACATTAAGGTATTATTATCAATTATAATATTAACATAACCCTTCCAGCATCTACTTCACACAAACAGATTACTGAAGACAGTATAAGCAAAATTTAGATTGAACACCCCATAGCTTTCTGTGTCGTGTCATACAAATATTAACTTAACATGGAACTAAAGCAATGAAGGAAAAAAATAACAACAATAAAACTGTGTCAGATTATCCCAAACAACACATGAAAAATTTGCACAGCACTTGACTTGTAAGGTAATTCTGAGTCTTGGGTAAACTTACTTGTGATAATGCTATTTTTATAATATCTCTCTTTAAGCTGAAAAAAATAAAAAGTATCATAGCTAGGAACTTTTAAGATTCTCAAACTACCTTCAGCTAAACAGCATCTGCAATCAACAATTGACTGCATTCTGCTATTGAAACATTCACAATGTGACCATAGTCCTCAGTAACTGTTTTACAAATGGATTCCATGTTGTGGTATGTCTTTTCTTTTACAGATCACAGGTGACATCAAAATGTGGTCACAACAAAAAAAGTGGCACATGAGGTACAGCCAAGTGTGTCCCTGATGTTCTCACCACAACTTGACACCTTCTGTGATCTATCATTGAACAGACCCACAACAATGAGGAATCTTTGATTTTTGTAATCAAGAAGAAAATTTTGTCAGTGATGAGATTATCTGGGTGTCTGTCCTTCAATAGATCAAGGATAGGAACCAATTGAAATGTATGTTTAATTCAGCTTATTATATAACAAATGATAGAAATCTCAAGCTTTTAATCTACTTGTTAAAAGGGAAAAAATCTTGTTACCTTCTTAATTTTGTGAGGGTAATGTTGAGATTTGGAAACTTTTCTCTGAATTGTTCATTCAGGTCTTTTTTCAGCTCAGAAGGCTTTGCATATGCCACCATGGATACCTGAAAAGCATATTCATTTGATATTTATATCTTCCCTTCCTTTTTTTACAGGAAAATACTTTGCCATTTCAGTTTTATGATATTTGGTGAAACATTGGTGTGGTAAGGGGGGTGGGGGAGATATACCCCCATGTTTTTTGTTTTTAGTGACACTTTGCCACAAATGAGGACAGTAATCTAGAGCATGAAAAAGCAGCGGTGGTAGATAGTGAGCTGTTGAAAGATGTTAAAGAATTACTGATTTAGAAATACTTCCTAATTTCCATAGAAATTATACTTACCAAGTATGAAGTCAAGTTGAGAACCTTTCTGTGCCGACCTGATTTCAGTTCAGGATTATCAAGAAGAAGAGGATCATACCAACTGGGTGATGGCAATGTTCCCTCGACATTCTCTGAAGGATACAAAGAATCAGAAAATTTTCACAACATTTTCAAAACTGAACACCTACATCAATACTTTGATAAGCAAGTCCTGAATATTATCATTTCATGCGACACAGGTTTCGATGAAAAAAAGCCCTTATAACCCCTTTTCTGGGAACAGCTGCTTATTACACTTCCCTTGATGTGATGAAATTCTAGCTATGGATCTTTAATAATAAAAGTCTCAGATAAGAAGAGTTAACATTCATTTACCTGAAACAAGTCCTCCATTATCCATTGGTAAAGGTACAGATGGAGATCCTTTGTTGGAAACAGCTTCATTCCAAGCCAAGGGATATGTTGATATCAGAAATGATCTGTATGATACTGGCTAAAAAGGAACAAATTTAAATGAAAAGATATTTAGTTCACATACTTCAGATTACAGTTACTATAATACACTTCTCACCTCTACTGTCACTGCCAACCCTGTTAGTACTTGTTTCCATTTATCACTAAAACTAAATGACTTGTGTACCTTGTCAATTGTTCCAAGTTGAACCCCTTCAATACCAGCAGACTGGCTGGGTGTAGCTATGGATATCTTCTTGACACTACAAAAAAGGAGTGGGAAATCATTTAATCATTTCTATTAATACCACAACCTCAAGCCAATTCATTCATGGTAGAGAGATGATTGACCCTTTAACTCCCATGAGTGACCAAGACAGAATTTCTCCTTACAATATCAATACAATATCAAGCAGACAAGTGATGAGAAAAAAAAATCAATTAGAGGATTATAAGTTGATCCAGTACCAAATTCTCCAAACTAACATCACAAGAACTGTATGGCAGACAGTAAGGAGAATCACTAATGAGATCTTGGGAGCTAAAGGGTTAAGCAAGATAATGATTCTTGCAGGTGAAGTGCAATTTTAGCAATTGCAGAAAGTTAAGCTTGGAAAAATTCAAATGGCTTATTCATTCTAGATTGCTTACAGAATCATATAATTAGTATTAGGTAATAACATGATTTCAAGTGCAATCTGGTGTTAATAAGCAAGAGTAAATTTTTCAAAGACAACAAAATTGCACAAGCCTGGAGGGTAAGTACAATTTGTAGTATTTGATAAATTTACAAGTGCTTGTTACATAAAATTGCAAGAGAAATCATGTAATTACTTTTTGATAAAGTACAAGAAAAAACATCACAGAAAGTCAAGACAGACAAAATTGTGAAAGCATGTGCACACTATTTGTAATTTGCACCCATGTTACACCTTTGCACTGGTTTTACAACTTTGCACTTTTGTTACATGAGAATGCACTTGTTTTCAGCCACTCAGAAGCTTATAATTTTTTCACGTACTTTATTATCTACAGAAATGGAAGAGTGTAAAATAAACCAAACAAAATGACTCATTGTAGATGCCAATCACTCTGATTCTTTGGTCTCACCTCATTCCTTCCTGGCCTGCTTCTTGGTTTTCCTTATGATATTTCAGGACAGAGTAGGTGGCCAGTGGAGCCTTTTGAGAAGAACACAAGACTATTCTGTAAACAAATGACATGCCAATTATTAGTTAGTGCTGAAATAAAATTTCAACTCAGAGTACCTTATTGAACGCAAGTTTTGTATCTTTTGTCTTTTCCTTGTTTGTATTGGCACCTAATGGGATGTGACCATAACAAATATGTATCAGTTATGTCCAGCGTGTTGCCTATAAAATTCACAGATATGGATTGATGATTTTCTAACTGAATTCATTATGTGTCCCTTTGTTCAAATAATGGAATAAAAATTAACTGAATTTCAAAATTCAGCATTCTTGCTTGGGTAATTTACAGTCATGGTTTACCACGTGACCACAGCATCATAGCATTTCCTAAGAGTGAGATTCTTTTCAGACATTTCATTGGAGAAACTTTCAACAGAAACAATGAAATCAAATGAAAAAAAGTAGAGATTATGCGGTAAAATCTTTGGGACCACCATAAAGGTTGCAATAGATCCCAGATGGTTGTAGCTTGCACAGTCAAATTTCTGAACCATGTTACTGAAACTTTTTAAGACAAATCTCTTTCCATGGGACTGCAAAAATTTGTGGGAAATTGGAAGTCAACCTTTTGTCCTTTACAGTACTGGTTCAACAATATTGGTCAAAGCAAAAAGTTGTACATGAGTTATCCAAGATGACCAAAGAAACTGTGCAATGAACAATGAAAAAGATTAAGAAAATTATTGCAGAGCTTTTGATCAAAATGGACCACAGCTTAGTTTCAAAATAATTGCAATAATACAAGATGACAGCAAGAAATGTGACATGTTTCAAATTTCTGAGACTAGAGACACTGATGGATTGTGTGGTTTTTCCATTAGATTATAGTTTGTACAACTTACAATTCCTTTAATCTTCTCTAATCCTAATTTCAATTCCCCAATCACTTTGGGATGAACAGAACACTCAGGAAAACATTTCAGGACAGAGCGTTATTCAGTCCAATATAGAGCAAGTTAAAAGGAATTATTTGTTTCATAACCCTCCTTTTATTATCAAAATGTTATTTTTATTCAGTATATTTTGTATGCAGCTTTAAAAGGGATTTCAAACCAACAACGAGAAACAAAAGCAGATCGTAAATCTATTTCTTGACTTGTTGCATTACTCCTTTTCCTAGCTTTGATTTGAACTCTATGTTGACATCCACCTTCTTATATTGCTTTGCTTTTTTATTTTTGTTGCCAAAATGTGTAACTAAGATTGGACAAATATCAAATCACTACACCATTCCTTAAGCATCCAAGACTGCAAAATTTCCCACATGCTATGCCAAGTCTAGGAATGCCTTTTGATTACCCAAGAACTTTTTAATTCAGACATGGAGTATATTCAGTTGACGGTATTCTCATACTACTAGAGTTTTATCTGAAAATTCTGCATCACATAAGAAATATTGACAATATTGCTTGCAATCTGCCAGCCTCATACCACATGACGCAGTTTAACCAGAGTGGACGAGAAAACAAAAATTCCTTAGTTCCAAATAAATATATTGAAATATATTTGATTAAGTTGCAGAGTACTGTGTAGCTTAGCGGATTTTTTTCAAATAGATCTACAGAAATTTCAATAAATCAAAACAAGGCAGATTCTTTGGACAATGTAGTAAAGATTCAGTGTGGAACTCAGCTTTATCTTAATTGATAAAAGTAAAATTATGCAATAATAATTTGATAGAAGACTCTTTGATTAAATAATTTATGATCAAGAACACTTCATTAAATCTTAATTTTTTTGACACTATAGCTCGTTATAAGGGGACGACATGATTCGAAAAATCGCTCGATATTTGTAAAAGTGAATTTGCTCTCACCTCTTGTCATTTGCTCGTCTCTTGTGGTGGAAAGAAGATCCCGCCAAACACGAAATCCGATTCTTCGTACGTTGAAAACTAACACTCGTAGTCGAAGGGTCGTAGGACGATTCAGACATTGAAACACTCCTTCGTACCATTACGGAGCTCTCATGACATTTTCTCTCATGAATAGCCTCCGTAACACTACGTTGTCTGTGTATTGATCGTTTGGAGCTGTCCTCAAAAGATTCTCCACCGGAGGTCGAGGGTTCAGATACAGAGTGCAGCAGTTTATTCCTTGTCCTTCTTGTCGCTTCTAGCGGGAGGCCAGTGTCTCCACGATCGTGTTCATTGCTTTCTTTGGGACTAGCCTTTTCTTTTTTCCGTTCAGCTGCTTCCTTTGTAATATTTCCATCCAGTGAAATATTCGAAAGGAAAGCACATGCCGTAGCAACACGCTTTGACCTTCCCTTACTAGGACGGCCAGCCGTCACAGCCGCCATATTGGCGGTTGTTGACAAATTGAGCCTCACCAGCCAGTGCCTGGGCTTCCGTAAATTGTACTCAACCTACCCCTGAAGACATAGCTGGATCCACAGGTAACCCAGGCGCGGCAGCCCAGACAGCTCTGCACATCGTGGAAACTTTCAAGAAAAATATTATTTATTCGAAGAGACAGAATTTTACCATTTCAATCAGCAACTAATGCTCAAAAGAGCAACGACGGTCCGAAGTTTGACTGGGTGACCCTATTCACCGGAATAATGGAGAAATGGAGAAATGGAGAAATGGAGAAATGGAGAA